TCCCCCTCTGCCTCCTGGTAGGGGGTCAGAGGGGAAGGCAGGATGGGTTGGCGGCAGCTCTGAGATCTTTTTTTTTATTAAACAACTTCATTGAGATATTATATAATTCACAAGCCGTACAATTTTCCCATTTGCAGTGGCTTTGCGTGTATGCACATACGTGCAAACGTCTCCCCGTCAAGTTCAGGGCATTTTCCTCCCCGCTGAAGGAAACCATCCTGCACCCTTAGCTGCACCCTGATAGATACGGGGCCCTGGGGACCCCTCAGCTACGCAGAGCCAGCTGGATTTGTGGGGTACGACCGTGCCCAGGGCCTGCTGCTTGGTTTATTGTCCTGCTCTTGCTGCCTTGAAATTCCGAATACTTTTTCTTAAACAAATACCCGGTATTTCCATTTTGCACCGAGCTCCACAGATATTACATAGCTGATCCTGAGGCAGGGTAGGAGATCGGTGGGGTTCGAGGGTGGAACCCCAGCGATGCCGGCGTCTGCCGGGGGGAAGCCTTCCCGTGAAGCCTGCCCATGGACGGCACTCCCTGGGGATGGGTGGGCACTCCGGGACTCGGGCCCCTTTCCAAGTCCCCTTTGCCCCGTGCATTCCTGTGGCTGCCGTGATAAACCACCACGAACTGGGTGGCTCAAAACGGCAGCAATTTACTGACTCACAGCTGCGGAGGCCGGAAGTCAGCAGGGCCGTGCTCACCGCGGAGGGAGGGTCTGTTCCATGCCTTCCTCTGAGCGGCTGGCGTTGCCACCAGCCCTCGACACTCCTGGGCTTGTGGTCACATCTCCCAGCCTCTGCCTGTCCCATCCAGTGCTCTACCTGTGCACCTGGGTCCCTTCTCCTCTTCTAAGTAGGACGCCGGTCCCTGGACTGGGGCCCGCCCTGATGACCTCAACTTGGTGATATCGGCAAAGACCTAGTCCCAAATAAGGCCGTGCTCACAGGGACCAGGGGTTAGGACTTCAACATGTCTTTTGAGGGGACACAATTCCAAACACCTCGATTCACGAGCAGCGATCACCTGTTCCCCAGAAGGAACGGGATGGGGTTCGGCACGGCGGCCAGGCAGCTGCTCTGGGCTGCCTCCCCCCACCCTCGCCCGCTGGCCCCTCTGGGCCCTTTGCCGTCCGCACCCCTCTCCAGGCCGTCTCCCTGGGTGAGCGGCTCAGGGGAAGAGTGCTCGTGGGCTCCGGCCCTGTGGCGAGCCCCGCGCGGGCCCGTGGACACTTTGGGTGGCTGTCGTGCCTGTCAGCTCTCCTTGCTGTCATAGGGCTCAAAGTCCAGGCTCACACTGGTTCCGTTCTTCTTCCAAGTACTAAGGAAGCGTCTGCACTTGCTGAGACAACCGCAGGGGCCAAAGGTCCGAGGAGTTATTTCCTGGATTAGCGTTTGTCCTCTTTTCCCCCTTGCGTTTGTCTTTAGTGACCGAACTTTTTTTTTTTTTTTTTGAGCATGAGTCTCTCTCTGTTGCCCGGGCTGGAGTCAGTGCCGTGCGTCAGCCTAGCTCACAGCAACCTCAAACTCCTGGGCTCAAGCCATCCTCCTGCCTCAGCCTCCCGAGTAGCTAGGACTACAGGCATGCGCCACCGTGCCCGGCTGATTTTTTCTATGTATTTTAGTTTGCCAATTAATTTTCTTTCTATTTTTAGTAGAGACGGGGTCTCGCTCTTGCTCAGGCTGGTCTTGAGCTCCTGAGCTCAAATGATCCTCCCACCTCGGCCTCCCAGAGTGCTAGGATTACAGGCGTGAGCCGCCACACCCTGCCTAGTGACGGAACTTTGGGTTTTAGAGCAAGTCCCCTGGCGTGAAACCGCTGTCGGGTCATCTTGGCACCAGTGTGGCTTTAATTTCATCTCACCTGGAGCCTGCAGGAGCCGGCACCACACCTGGCTCTGGAGGCACTTGGGAGCAGAGGGGCCACCGGGTCTCCTCCTGCTGAAAGGAGCTCCTGCAGAACGGAGTCCCAGCCTCTCGGTGAGTCCTCGGTGGGGGGGTTGGGGGTCGGCTCCCAGGCTGGGGGGTGGGGCTGTCCGAGCAGACCGGGATCTCCAGCCGTTATTTTCTATGTATTACACAAGAGTTGGTTTGCTCTGGTTTTTGCGAGAGGCACGCAGCCCCAGCTGGTCCAACCTGTCATTCCAAATGAAACAACCTAGCCACAGGAATCCACAGGTCTGAGAGGAACACCCCCACCTGAGCCCAAGAGATTCACCAGGTTGGTGGCTTCCGCGCTTTGTGCGATGGAGAACAATTAGACACAAACCAATGTCCTTCCACAGAAGCACCGACACATCAACTGTGGTTTATTCATGTAGCTGAATCCAGTACACAGTTTAAAAGGAACACGTTGCATCAAGCCACATGTGTCAAACACGCAGAGTGCAGCCCCTGCTCAGAGCAATACTGTCTACCTAAAGGTAGAGTTGCCGGTGACGACACTACGGATGTAAAGTTACCGTCTGGCGTAAGGGACCACGCAAAAATACTGCACATGGTTTGTAGGCACTTCCATGTGTAGGGAATGATTTTTAAAATATGCCCAGCAGTGACCTCTGGGCAGACAGGGCAGGGAGGGGAAAGGGACCAGATAGAACAAAAAGGCATCAGCTGTCTCTCTTTTTTTTTGGGGGGGGGGACAGAGTCTCACTCTGTTGCCCAGGCTAGAGTGAGTGCCGTGGCATCAGCCTAGCTCACAGCAACCTCAAACTCCTGGGCTCAAGCAATCCTCCTGCCTCAGCCTCCCGAGTAGCTGGGACTACAGGCATGCGCCACCATGCCCGGCTCATTTTTTCTATATATATTAGTTGGCCAATTAATTTCTTTCTATTTATAGTAGAGACGGGGTCTCGCTCTTGCTCAGGCTGGTTTCGAACTCCTGACCTCGAGCCATCCGCCCGCCTGGGCCTCCCAGAGTGCTAGGGTTACAGGCGTGAGCCGCCACGCCCTGCAGAGCTGTCTCTTTAATGATGCATTTCCTTGAAAAGAAACCTAAAGTGCAGTGTGTTAGGATGGTTGAACATGCATCCGTGGTTGAATGGCAGGTACATGGGTATTTGTTCTATCATTTGCAGGATTTTTTATATGGCTGAAACAGTCCCCAGTTTTAAAACATTTTTAAATTACTTATACGGATTAGTGGGCTGATAGCCTTGGGCCAGTGCCAGGAGGGCAGGGAGGGACTCAGGTGCGGCCACAGCGGTGGACACAGCTCCTCTGCAGAGCTGGGCACCCAGGCGAGTTCCCAGGACCGGGAGGCTGGGCAGGTGAGTGCCGAGGTCCTCCCAACATCATAAGGTCCTAGGTTCTAGACCAGCCAGCGTGTCACCCTGAAAGCTCGTGTTCGAGTTGCTTCGTGCGCTTTGTCCAGACAGACCCGGGGCCTGTGACACCGGCTGGTCGGTCTGCCCCAGGCCGTCCTGCCGTTTGCTGTCTCTCTACCCTCTTAACCCCCCACCCCCCCCCCCAGCCGAGCTGTCCCAGCCTTTACTGTGCCGAAGTGTCCTTTGTTCTGTGGTTTTGCCTGGTTCTGCAACACGCTTTTGCTGAGAGTCGCTGCCCTGACACATGTCCCTGTGTGTCCTCCGGGTCAGTGTGCAAAGGGCCACACGCAGGGCGGCTTAAAACAGCAGAGGTTTATTCGCCCACGCTTCTGGAAGCCAGAGCCCACGCCAGAGTGTCCAGGGAGCAGCCTTCCTGGCCCCTTCCAGCTCGGGGGGGCCCAGGCGTCCCCCGACTTGAGCCGTGTCACTCTCTGCCTCCTCTGCGTGTCTGATGCATGCCCTCCTCTTAAAAGGACACCGGCCACTGGATTTGGGGTGATCTCAGCATAAGTGAGTACGCCTGCAAAGACCCTCTTCACAGCTAAAGTCACATTCTGAGGTTCTGGGTGGATGTGAGTGTTGGGTGGCAGCTCTTCAACCCGCTGTCGCCTCCTTGTTAGGAATTGTCAGCCCATACAGATGTAGAAACTGAGGCTAAAAATAAAAAATAAAGGAATTGTCAGCCAAGGGGAATTCCTCTCGCACACCCCTGAGCCCCCTCCCCGATGCCCCTACAGCCAGGATTCGGGGTCCCCAGATGGTGCTCTCGTCTAGGTAGGTACTTGGTGTGACCGCCACCAGAAAATAGGAGAGGGAATGTCTGCCCGCCTTGGCACACAAGTCACCTCTGCACTGAAAACCGGCAGGTGTCCTCACACCAAGTGCAAGCCGTGTGCTCCCCATGCAGGCACTGTTCCAAGGCACATGGGCCGGCCCCGCTTCCCGCCCGACTCTACCACCCCTTCCGTGTAGGCCGGGGCACTGCCTCCGACTGCAGGGCTGGTGGCCCCACCGTCCAAACCCTCAGGTCGGTTCTAGGGCGGTTTCCCAAACTTTTTTCATCATCACTCCCTAAGGAGCCTGTTGAGAAATCTTTTTCCTAATTGCCCTCCCATGAAATATTAATATCCCTTATACCGTGTATCTGTTTATGTGTGTCTGTGCTTTACACATAGAAAAATAAGAATTTTTGCCCCCCCAGGAGAGGGTCTAGCACCTCTGTTGAGAATGCAGGTTTCAAGACCCGTGAGAGAGCTGGGCTGAGTTTTAATGTCACTTTCACAGGTGAATCGATTCCCGGCACCAGGAGCTTCCTGTGCTTTAAAGGCAAACCCAGGCCGGGCGCGGTGGGTGTGAGCCACTAGCACTCTAGGAGGCCGAGGCAGGAGGATTGCTCAAGGTCAGGAGTTCGAAACCAGCCTGAGCAAGAGTGAGACCCTGTCTCTACTAAAAAAATAGAAAGAAATTAACTGGCCAACTAAAAATATACACAAAAAATTAGCCGGGCATGGGTGTAGTCCCAGCTACTCGGGAGGCTGAGGCAGGAGGATCACTTGAGCCCAGGAGTTGGAGGTTGCTGTGAGCTAGGCTGACGCCACGGCACTCACTCTAGCCTGGGCAACAAAGTGAGACTGTTTCAAATAAATAAATAAATACATAAAGGCAAACCCAGTCTGCCCGAACCAGATGCGGCCGGTGTCCTCTGGCTCTGCTCGGGGAGAATTGATCTGACATTGCCCCTAAGGATGGCTGTCCCCCACCCCGACCCCACTGGCCGCGAGACACCAGGGCTGGGGTCAGGTGGAACTCCGGTGCAGGTTACAGGACGTTCCTGACGAGCCGAGTCGGTCGTCTCCTTCTCTCCCAGCACCGTGGGGCCGGCCGTGTGCACGGAAGGTCCCCTCGGGCCCCGGGAGCCGTCTCATCGACCCCACCCCATTGCCGCCCCATCCAGGGCCCCCCGGGCGCCGTCATGGCGGAACTGGGCCGCAGGGACTCCACGCTGGCGGCGCTGGACGAGGAGGCGCTGTGGGAGATGATGGAGAGCCACCGCTGCAGGATCGTGCGCAGCGTGTGCCCCAGCCGCCTCACGCCCTACCTGCGCCAGGCGCGCGTGCTGGGCCAGCTGGACGAGGAGGAGGTGCTGCACAGCGCCCAGCTCACCAACAGCGCCATGAGAGTGGGTGAGCGCCGGGGTGTCGAGGGACGGCAGGCACCGCAGGGGCTGGAGTTCCCCACGCTGGGGACCCTGTACAAGTTCCCAGGGCGGCCCCAACATGCCACAACTGGGGGCTTAAAACAAAAGCAATGTGCTCTCCCGCGGTTCCGGAGGCCGGAAGTTGGGAACCCAGGTGTCCGCAGGGCCCAGCTCCCTCCAGGCTCTAGGGGAGGGCCCTTCCTGCCTCTTCCAGCTCCGGGGCCCCCAGGCCCTCCTGGGCTTGGGCAGCCTCACTCCCACCTCTGCCCCTGTCTTCACCCGGGTCTCCTCTGTGCCTTCCGTCTCTTGCACGGGCACTTGTCGTTGCATTTAGGGCGCACCAGGTGTTCACGATGATCTTTATCCCTTATCTCAAGGGCTCCCACTTAATTACAGCTGCAAAGACCCTTTCCCCAAAGAAGGGCCCAGGGATAGCTTCTGGGTGGATGTGTCTTTTGAGGGGGGGGCCCACCATTAAACCACTACGAGTTGCCTTTGGAATCAGTTCTGCTGGTCTGACTAGCTGGGTTTATCCATTCAAAAGTGGGGGTGCTAATGGCTTTACCATATAAGGTTGTTAGGAGAGCTAAATGAGCTGCTGTTTATAGCATACCCATGGCAAAGTCTGCGCCCTAGACAGCAGGCAGTGTTAGCTATTAACATTAAGGCTAGGCCGGGCGCAGTGGCTCACACCTGTAACCCTAGCACTCTGGGAAGCCGAGGCGGGCGGATTGCTCGAGGTCAGGAGTTCGAAACCAGCCTGAGCAAGAGCGAGACCCCCATCTCTACTATAAATAGAAAGAAATTAATTGGCCAACTAATATATATATATAGAAAAAATTAGCTGGGCATGGTGGTGCATGCCTGTAGTCCCAACTGTTGGGGAGGCTGAGACAGGATTGGATTGCTTGAGCCCAAGAGTTTGAGGTTGCTGTGAGCTAGGCTGACACCACAGCACTCACTCTAGCCTAGGGAACAAAGCAAGACTCTGTCTCTCAAAAAAAAACAAAACATTACGTCTGTGCATGTTGGCCTTATAATCCTCAAATGCAGAAGAGATCAACCCAAGCTGGTAATTCCAGCTGTGAGCGGTGGGGTCCGGGCCCTGGGAGCAGAAGGCCCCTGAATGTATCCCCCCGGGCCCTGGGGAGCTGCTGTTTCCTCCAGCGACATTTTGCCCGCATACAGCGACTGTGCCTCTGCACTGAGCCCCAGCCTGCCTGGGAGGTGCTTGCGAACAGGGCTCCTCTTCCTCATCCCGCATCCCCAGCTCCAGGCAGAGCACGGAGGCCCCGTCCCAGGCTGGCCTTTCTCAAGTCTGGGTGAGGCCATGCGAGTTAAGGGAACCTGAGAGGGCTCATCCCGCCCCACAGATCCCAGGAAGCTGACCTCACCTCCTGATCCCTAGGCGTGCGAGGGTGTCCCCGGGGGAAGCCAGCTTGGCAGCTGGAACACGGCTCTCTCTCCCCAGGACACCTGCTCGATCTGCTGAAGACCCGAGGGAAGAACGGGGCCATCGCCTTCCTGGAGAGCCTGAAGTTCCACAACCCTGACGTCTACACCCTGGTCACCGGGCTGCAGCCCGACCTTGACTTCAGCAACTTCGGAGGTGAGAGCTCCGCCTTTGACTGGGGGGTGGGCAGGAGCTTCCTGGAGCCCTGGGCTCCCGGTAACCCCGGGCAGGATGTTCTCCCCCGAGGCTGGGGACCCTGTCCCTGTGCCCCATGTGTGGCGGGCGGGCAGGACAAGGAGCCCCTGGGCCCTGGGGCAGGGGCTCCAAGAGGAGACCCCTGTGGGCAGGGTCTGCATTAGGGAGGCAGAGGGGAAGCCAGTCTCTCCTGGGACAGCTCCTGGCATGTCCCTTCCCTTGCCGGGCAGCCCAGCGCCAGCTCTCAGGAGGGGACGAGGGGCCCCTGCCGGAGGGCGAAAGGAAGCAGAGCCTTCCTCGCCTTTGCGCACCTGTCTAAGCACACAGGCTCGCTCCTGCTGGGTGGAAGATAAGGCCATTGTCATTAACTGAGTCATTGTGGGCCTTCCTGGAGGAGCTGTTGAAAGATTTAGGTGCTCAAAGCAGAAGGACTCATGTAACTCAAAACTGGATAATAAACTGTTTTTTCTGTCTGGCTGAACAGTACGTTTATGTTATCTAGAGTTCTGTTAGGCAGAGTCACATGTGTCACTACATTTTAATTGGGTGACATTAAAATGAGTTTGCTTTAAGAACATCTCAGCTGGCAAGGAGGGTCGCTGGGTCTGAACAGTGGGGTCTCACGGGAAGGCGGAGTGGGTAATACTTGTGCCAAAGCTATGAGTCACGCAGCCAAACTACCACGGTTGGGTGAGGCCCAGAAGCTTTTAGGGGGACAGCAGGTCAGGGCTAGGGGGCCTGCTGGGGAGCCTGGGCAAGGGACACGAAGTTCCTAAGGGGAATGGTGAGGGCGGGGCTGTGCCTCAACCCCTCTCCCCCTGCTTTCCGCTGCCCCTGCGCCTTACCCCTGCCACCTGCCCCCTGCCTACCTTCCCTCTTGGCCACTCACCCACCTTGCCCTGCCTACTGCACTGCCCTGCCTACCTGCCACGCCCCTATCACCTGCCCCTGTACCCTGCCACCTGCCTATCCACCTGCCACTTGTCTACCTGCCACCGTATCCTGCCACTCGCCGACCTGCCCATCTACCCCTGCCCACCTCCCGACCTGCCCATCTACCCCTGCCCACCTGCCTACCTGCCCACCTCCCGACCTGCCCACCTGACTCCTGCTCACCTGCCTACCTGCCCACCTGCCGATTGCGCTTGCCCACTCCTCTGCCCCGCGCAGGCTCATGGAGACGTTCCAAGCTGACGAGTGCTTGGCGGGGGCATTGGAGCTGCAGGAGAGCTAGCAGGAGAAGGGGCAGGAAGGAGGCGCTGCTTGCGGCGGTGCAGCTGCTGAGGGCGTCTGGACCTGGCGAGCCCGCCGAGGGCCTGCGCCAGCTGGAGCGACCCGCGCATGAGCGCGAGGTCAGCGCCCACTTCCACGAGGTGCTGAGGCTGAAGGACGAGATGCTCAGCCTGTCGCTGCACTACAGCAACGCGCTGCAGGAGAAGGAGCTGGCGGCCACGCGCTGCCGCGGCCTGCAGGAGGAGGTAGGCGGGCCTGCCCCGCGGCTTTGCTGCCGTGCGCCCCGGGGCCTTTGCACTCACTGGTCCGTCTCCCGGGATCCCGCCCCTCTTCCTTGTCCAGCACCTCCCTGCCCCAGAGCCCTGGCCACGGCCACTCCCGGAAGCCGGCCCCTGGTAGCCTGCAGGGCGGCGAGGTGGCCTGGCTGGAACGGCACACCTGCCTGGAGCAGGCCTGGCGGTGCGGGCCCGTATCGGCAGACCCGCCTGCGGCCAGGCCCAGCCCCAGCAGCGACGTGGGCCGGTCGGTCTCTGGCGCCTTCCTTCGTCCTCCTCAGCGGGCCGCGTGGGGGGAACAGTTGTCAGGCTCGGCCTCCAGCTCGCTCCAGTGCCTTTCACTCCTGCTTTGGTTGGGGAGGATGTATTCGCCGGTCTGTAGGCCGTCTTTAAATATCGAGGGTGTTCGTTTTTTGTCATTTTATTTGTTGTTTGCTTTTAATTTTTGAGTTTTAACTTTTTATTTAGATAAAATTTCAAATTTTTAAAAAAACACCCGAAAATGGTACAAAGAATATCCATAGACCCTTTCTTTATCATTTGCACTTTTTTCTCCCCGAATTTCCCTGTCTGCCTCTCTCTACCTACACACCACACACTATACACACCACACACACTGTACACACACACACACACACTGTACACACACACACTGTACACACACACACTGTACACACACAC